CAACCGCTAATGATAGAGAAGGGGAGGGGGAGGGGGAGGCCGGGTGAGTGCTGAGCTCTAGTGCCTCCATTGGTAAAAAAAAATGAGCTAATCACCATCGAGTGTTCACTTTCAGCGCTGAGGAGTGTTGAGAAAAGAACCCTTGCAAGGGAGGCTAGCCTCCCTTCTGATATCAACCAATCATCAAAGTAGACTTGTGCCGGTATTTGGTAATGCGATATATCACGGTAATGAATATGCACGATATTGTTATCGTGGGCACTTCTAAATACCGTGAATAATTTATATATTACAAATTATTCCGAATTTTGAATGCATTTTAAGAATACTTTTCCCATCAACTGGTCAAAATGCACAACACCGCTGTATGCTGCGTGAAAGACGCGTGCGCACTCTGATGTAAACAAGCGCGGACGAGAAGCACATGGCGGAACATGTGAGAGACGCTCTGGATGAAAGCGCACTTTCACTCTCTGACAGCAGATGGCGCTAAACTGCAGAAATAATAATAATAATAATAATTCATTTAAATGCAGCCGTTACCCCGGAAACCCTGTAAACAAAGCAGCTGCACTGCTTCCTGTTTCTGAATCATGTTTAAATTATTTAAATAGCCATTCAGATTTGTGTATTTGCTATGATGTTCATCACAGCGCCAAATACTTACATATTTAGACTTAATAGGCTATTTATTTTCAAACTTTTTTTTACATTTTAATCTGGACTACAACATGCCCTAGATATTGTTTGAAAGTGTTTTGATTTTTTATTGTTCGGTCACACTTTACATTAGGGCTTCGTTAGTTAACATTAGTTAATTCATTAGTTAACATAAACTGCCAATGAAAAATTCTTCTGAACATTCATTAATCTTAGGTATTCCAATATTTAATAACAGGATGTTAAAATCAAAAGTTGCAACTGTGATTTAATGAGTTAACATGAACTAAGACTTAAGTATTTTTTTTTCAAAGATTAATAACTTCTGTAGCAAATGTAGCTATTGCTCATTGTGAATGTTAATGCATTAACTAAGGTTAACTAATGAGGTCTTATTGTAAAGTGATACCTATTGGTCTTTATAGTTCTTTTGCACTTTAATCTGTGTAAAACTTTTAACTTTATAAATTTTTCTGTATTGCTTTATTGCATTTAAATGTTCAGTTATTTTTGTTATAAGAAAAAAGTTATTAAACCTGTTATACTGTATTATGACAGCACTTTTTTAAACTAAATTTCAACATCGTGATAATACCGTATACCGTGATAAAAGCATTAGCAATTAATCGCAACATGAAAATTTGATACCGGCATATCCCTAATACAGATGCACCAAAGGTTTGTTTTCAGGGTCATTAAGGCATTGAAATCAGATCAGATGAAGTTCTCTAACCAAGTGATCCTGTGTGTGTTTTACAATACTTGTGTTTTAGATGGATGTATGCATGTATTGTATGTATATTTCCTTAACTTTTTTTTTTTATTCTGATTCTATTTTTACTATAAAGCACTTTGGATCAACTACAGGTGTGTAAAACTTGGTCTCTATGAATAAAGCTTGACTTGACTAACCGTCGTCAATGTCAAAGTCAGCGAAGCACAGCTCGGAGCCCTTGTTGGTGATCAGGATTTCTCCGTTCAGGGTGAAGATCATGGATTTGTCCTCCAAGTTGATCATACAACCCACGACATCCCCGGCGTGCCAGCAGCGGCCGAACAGACGGCTGCCCGTGTGGAGCCGATGACCCTGAGAAGCACAGCAAGGTTATTTTCGTAAACGAAAACTAAAACTAAGACGAAAACGATTGGTCAAAAAACATTTTCGTAAACTGAAATAAAATTAAAAAATCTAAATAAATGAAAAACTAAAACGAAACGAAACTAACAACAGTTATTGCAAAACTAACTGAAATAAAATAATAATTATCAAAAAAAAAATTATCGTTTTCGTAATCATTACGTTCTCACCCCGTGGCGGAAGCCTTACGAATGTACTGCAAATGCTCTAAAGTACTCTGAAGGTGAACAGAAATGAGATATTCAGCTCTCTGCTTGCAGCGCATCAGTCACGCTCGTCAAGAAAGTGAGTGAAACACACACAAACACACATTTTTATCAAATAATACGTCATTAATAGCGGTTCACTTCCGTGATTTGGTACGATTGCGTTCACATCAGCAGCGAACCGTACCGGAGTTCACATGAACCGTACCCCAGACCACCCTTTTTAAGCGGACTCGGGTACGGTTCGCGGGTGCGCACCCAAGTTCGGAAGACCGCGTTCACATCATCCAAACGTACCGAACTCTGACGTTAATCGAACCCGGGTGCGCACCAAAAGTGCTAGTGTGAAAGCACCCTAAAATAATCTAAAATGTGCTAGCATAATACTAACAATATGCTATATAATGCTAACATCATCTAGCTAAGTGTTAAAACATGCTAAAACATGTCGGGATTGCCTAGCTAAGTGCTAAGACAATGCTAATAGCATGCTAACATCATGCTAATGACACGTTAACCAACATGCATAATGGTAAACATATTAGTATCTTGATAAAAACATGCTAATGGCTAATGGCATGCTAATGCTAGCATCATGCTAATCATGTTAGCATCTTGTTAAAAACATGCTAGCATCATGCTAGCAACATGCTAATCATGCTAACTACATGTTTACAACATGCTAATCATGTTAGCATGTTTCTAGCATCATGCTAATCATGTTAACATCTTGTTAAAAATGCTAGCATCATGCTAGCAACATGCTAATAATGCTAACTACATGTTTACAACATGCTAATCATGTTAGCATGTTTCTAGCATCATGCTAATCATGTTAACATCTTGTTAAAAATGCTAGCATCATGCTAGCAACATGCTAATAATGCTAACTACATGTTTACAACATGCTAATCATGTTAGCATGTTTCTAGCATCATGCTAATCATGTTAACATCTTGTTAAAAATGCTAGCATCATGCTAACAACATGCTAATCACGTTAACATGTTTGCTAGCAAAAAGTTAAAAAATTAGCATGCTGTTAACATGATGCTAACACGATTAGGGTTACTAATAGTGCCTAGTGCCGAGTTTTGCCACGGCAAGCACCACTCACATTTTCTTCAGAAAATGTACATATCTAGTTTTGACTGTCGTTTATCCCTGTATATATGAATGAGTCAAAAGTAGTTTCTAACAGCTGCATGTACAGTCTATGTGTGAGTTTTTATGGATTTGTTGTGGCTCAGACGAGGCTCGGACTGTTTTAAAGAAATTGTTTTTAAAAATGGAAGGGGATGTTAGTATTGTTCCGTTTTCGGTCTTATCAAATAAAAACACACACAGCGAGCCAACGCTGCCTATTCGACCTGCTGTTCTTTACACAGTAGCAGCCTATATTATGATATGTAATCTCATTCCAAGAGCAAGGATTTGGTAATATGAAAAGTGTGTAAACGCCCCAAAAGAACAGCCAAACATTGGATTTTCAAATCCAGATCGTTCTGATCAGACTAAACTTTTGGAACTGGGCCTCAATGATATTGGAAACCCAAGCTTTCTCCATTTCCGGTAGTCAGAAGAGGTCTGACGGGTTTCAGCGTTTCCCCACTCACCCGATGACCGTCGAAGACGTAGGCCTGCTCGTCCGTTCCCAGCTCCACGTCGGGTTTGCAGCCGGGCCGAGCCCAGCCCACCCGCATGTCTCCACCCGTCACCGCCTCGAACTCGAAATACCACCGGCCCATCTTCACCGCATACGTGCGCTCCACACGGAAGAAACGGATCTTATCGATGCTCAGCCGCTCCACCACGTGACCTGAGACACAGCAAACACACGTACAAAACCGGTACAAAAACAGCTGCTAAACCAGCTGTAGCATCAAAAGCCAAAAGTGTTTGCTGCTCTTTTACTGTTCTTGTATGTCAGCACTTGTTAGTGTACTACTGTCAGTGAAACACCATGTGTCCAAATATATCACATTTTTTCTTTTGATAGCTTGATGTTATGATGTGACAGTAAGTTCTGGGGGAAAAAATTCATAAATAAATCTTTTAGCTTGTTAATATGGAATGCCAAAACTGTCAAAATAAGTCAAATAAATAAATGCATAAATTAGCATACAAACAAATGTAAAACAAACAAAAAAAGATACATGCATAAATAAATATACAAAGAAAGATAAATAAGTATAAACATACAAAGAAATGTGAAAAATTACTAAATGCATAAATACACAAAGAAATGTCAAAAAACTAAAATGTACAAATAAATACATAAATATGCAAACAAAACCTTAACTAAATAAATATACAAAGACATGTCAAAAAACAAGAATATAAAAATAAAAACAAATATACAAAGAAATGTAAAAAAAAAAAAAAAATCAATAAATGCAGAAGTAAATATACAAACAAAAATCACAAATAAATAAATAACTGCAAAAATAAAGCAATGTAAAAAAAAAATATATATATATATACAAAGAAATGTAAAAAACAAAAATGAATAAATAAATACCAAAATATACAAAGAAATGTAAAAAAATTAAAGCATACAAATAAATACATAAATATGCAAATGTTAAAAAAAACAACTAAATTCAATAAATACAGAAGTAAATATACAAACAAAAATCACAAATAAAAAGAACTGCATAAATCAAGAAATGTAAAAAAAAAACATAAATATACAAAGAAATGTAAAAAAAAAAACTAAATCAATAAATGCAGAAGTAAATATACAAACAAAAATCACAAATAAATAAATAACTGCAAAAATAAAGCAATGTAAAAAAAAAATATATATATATATACAAAGAAATGTAAAAAACAAAAATGAATAAATAAATACCAAAATATACAAAGAAATGTAAAAAAATTAAAGCATACAAATAAATACATAAATATGCAAATGTTAAAAAAAACAACTAAATTCAATAAATACAGAAGTAAATATACAAACAAAAATCACAAATAAAAAGAACTGCATAAATCAAGAAATGTAAAAAAAAAACACCACCTGTAGGCTAAACAAAATTTCCCATCAGAGATCCACTAAACACATACTTCATAAATGTTAAATCACACTTTTCCCTTTTGGTTCAGTTTACCAGAAAAACACAAGAAATAGATGCTAGCATCATGCTAGCAACATGCTAATAATGCTAACTACATGTTTACAACATGCTAATCATGTTAGCATGTTTCTAGCATCATGCTAATCATGTTAACATCTTGTTAAAAATGCTAGCATCATGCTAACAACATGCTAATCACGTTAACATGTTTGCTAGCAAAAAGTTAAAAAATTAGCATGCTGTTAACATGATGCTAACACGATTAGGGTTACTAATAGTGCCTAGTGCCGAGTTTTGCCACGGCAAGCACCACTCACATTTTCTTCAGAAAATGTACATATCTAGTTTTGACTGTCGTTTATCCCTGTATATATGAATGAGTCAAAAGTAGTTTCTAACAGCTGCATGTACAGTCTATGTGTGAGTTTTTATGGATTTGTTGTGGCTCAGACGAGGCTCGGACTGTTTTAAAGAAATTGTTTTTAAAAATGGAAGGGGATGTTAGTATTGTTCCGTTTTCGGTCTTATCAAATAAAAACACACACAGCGAGCCAACGCTGCCTATTCGACCTGCTGTTCTTTACACAGTAGCAGCCTATATTATGATATGTAATCTCATTCCAAGAGCAAGGATTTGGTAATATGAAAAGTGTGTAAACGCCCCAAAAGAACAGCCAAACATTGGATTTTCAAATCCAGATCGTTCTGATCAGACTAAACTTTTGGAACTGGGCCTCAATGATATTGGAAACCCAAGCTTTCTCCATTTCCGGTAGTCAGAAGAGGTCTGACGGGTTTCAGCGTTTCCCCACTCACCCGATGACCGTCGAAGACGTAGGCCTGCTCGTCCGTTCCCAGCTCCACGTCGGGTTTGCAGCCGGGCCGAGCCCAGCCCACCCGCATGTCTCCACCCGTCACCGCCTCGAACTCGAAATACCACCGGCCCATCTTCACCGCATACGTGCGCTCCACACGGAAGAAACGGATCTTATCGATGCTCAGCCGCTCCACCACGTGACCTGAGACACAGCAAACACACGTACAAAACCGGTACAAAAACAGCTGCTAAACCAGCTGTAGCATCAAAAGCCAAAAGTGTTTGCTGCTCTTTTACTGTTCTTGTATGTCAGCACTTGTTAGTGTACTACTGTCAGTGAAACACCATGTGTCCAAATATATCACATTTTTTCTTTTGATAGCTTGATGTTATGATGTGACAGTAAGTTCTGGGGGAAAAAATTCATAAATAAATCTTTTAGCTTGTTAATATGGAATGCCAAAACTGTCAAAATAAGTCAAATAAATACATGCATAAATAAATATACAAAGAAAGATAAATACATAAACATACAAAGAAATTTGAAAAATTACTAAATGCATAAATACACAAAGAAATGTCAAAAAAAAAGAATATAAAAATAAAAACAAATATACAAAGAAATGTAAAAAAAAAAACTAAATCAATAAATGCAGAAGTAAATATACAAACAAAAATCACAAATAAATAAATAACTGCAAAAATAAAGCAATGTAAAAAAAAAAATATATATATATATATATACAAAGAAATGTAAAAAACAAAAATGAATAAATAAATACCAAAATATACAAAGAAATGTCAAAAAATTAAAGCATACAAATAAATACATAAATATGCAAAGAAATGTTAAAAAAAACAACTAAATTCAATAAATACAGAAGTAAATATACAAACAAAAATCACAAATAAAAAGAACTGCATAAATCAAGAAATGTAAAAAAAAAAACATAAATAAACAAAGAAATGTAAAAAACAAAAATGAATAAATAAATACCAAAATATACAAAGAAATGTAAAAAAATTAAAGCATACAAATAAATACATAAATATGCAAATGTTAAAAAAAACAACTAAATTCAATAAATACAGAAGTAAATATACAAACAAAAATCACAAATAAAAAGAACTGCATAAATCAAGAAATGTAAAAAAAAAACATAAATAAACAAAGAAATGTAAAAAACTAAAATGAATAAATAAATACCAAAATATACAAAGAAATGTCAAAAAAGGGAATTTTTATAATTGCATTTGCTTTGTATTTTTATGTATTTATTTATTTACTATTTTGGCAGCTTTGGCATTCCATATGTTAGCTTCAGTGGATCATTTGCTCTTTGATTTAATTAATTCAAGTCATAAAGGCTGACTGACCAGCATCTGTATGAGCTCCATTACTGAGTTTCTTTAAAAACCTTCATCAACGTTCGGATTAAGCTTCAGAAAATCAACGAGTGAATGAAGCAGAGAATCAATTCAATCAGAAGCAGAGAAAGCACACATTGAGATCTCAGCTGAACAAACCACCGCTACAGCTCATTAAACTACGATTAGAGTTAATTCACTCCTTAAACTCCACTACAACACTGATGCACATAATTAACCCTTAACTGATATTACAGCTTATTCTAACAAAAAATAACATGCTCTGATATATAATAATATATCATATTTACAGGTGACTTTAAATGATCATTATTATAAATAATATTTTATATTGTACAATTCATACATAAAATGAAGACCAAAGTGCTTAAGAGGAGAGAATATAAAACACTAAGAAAACTGAAAGCACAAAACAGTAATAAAAACAATAAACACAAGAATAACAATAAAAACAAAAGAGATTTAAACAGATGAATCAATCAAGAGCTATCTGAAAAAATGGAGAAGTAAAAATCTGAAAAAAAAGTCTGGAGATGGTGCTCCTGAAACACACCGTGAGAGAGTGAGAGAGTGAGAGTGAGAGTGAGAGTGAGAGAGACATTAGTAATTCATTTTGCACTACATGCTTAATACTTTTTATATATTATTATTATTACTATTACAATTATTATTATTCTTTTTCTTTCTGTTAATACATATGTGTACTATTTGTAGCTCCAATAGCTCCAATTGCTTTGGCAATACAAATGTATAATTTTTGTCATGCCAATAAAGCACTCTTAAATTGAAAAAATTGAAAATTGAAAATTGAGAGACAGAGAGGGAGAGAGAGAGAGAGAGAGAGGCGCGCTGTGATTGGCTCAGACTGAAACGTTCGTTCTGATTGGACGGAATTAATGGGCTGTTTGTCTGCATTATGAGGGAAACACGTGTCGCTGTGAGTGATATCCCAGCATCCTCTCTCACCTGCTGGATGCCGTAGGTCCAGCCCTGTTTGATGCGGTCTTTGGCCCAGACGTTGTGAGCGTTTTCTGCCAGTTTGTCCACCAGCAGCTCTTGAGCGGCGCTCAGTTTGACGTCTGACAGATCCAGCGGCGACGGCTTATAGCCGTTAGACATCATATAACTGCAGAAAACACACCGCACGCTAATGAAACAACAACTACAGTCTAGTGCCCTTACTTTCTAGTTCACTACACACACAATGAGGCCTAACGAGCGCCTGTCATCATATAAACCAGCTGAAAAATCACTGCAACTTTGACATGATGTACACTAAACAGAAATATATTTATTAAATGAACAGAAAAAGAAATAAATATAAATTAAAACTGAAATAAATTTAAAAAAATAAAACCTAAATAGTATAAACCTAATAAAAATTAACTAATAAAAGTGACACACATAAAAAAACATAAAAACATAAAAATAAAATCTAATTCAAAATATTAATAAAATCTATAAATGAATGATAATATAAATGAATAAAAGTAAAAAATTAACTAAAACTAAAACTGAAATAAAAATATGAATAAGAACTATAATAGTATATTAATAATGCTAAAATAACACTGGTTGAAGCACTAAAATTACTAACTGGAAATAAAAAAAAATGAAATAAAAATAAATTAAACAAAAACTAATAAAAAATGTCAAAAGCACACAACAAAATTACTAAAGAATTCAACAAAAAAACTTTAAATATAAAAATAAAATCTAATTCAAAATATTAATGAAATCTATAAATGAATGATAAATATAAATGAATAAAAGCTCAAAATGAACTAAAACTAAAACTGAAATAAAAATAATTTCAACACAAATAGTAATATTAAAAAAACAACTAATAAAAATGACAAAACGAAATTACTAAAAACAACCGAAATTTAAAAAATCTTCAAGTATAAAAATAAAATGTATTTGAAAATATGAATAAGATTCATATATATAATATTATATTAATAATGCTAAAATAACACTGGTTGAAGCACTAAAATTACTAACTGGAAATAAAAAAATAAATAAAAATGAAATAAAAGTAAATTAACACAAAAACTAATAAAAATGTCAAAAGCACACAACAAAATTACTAAAAATGTAACTAAAATTGAAAAAAAAAACTTTCAATATAAAAATAAAATCTAATTCAAAATATTAACAAAATCTATAAATGAATGATGAATATAAATGAATAAAAGCTAAAAATTAACTAAAACTAAAACTGAAATAAAAATAAATTAAACCTAAATAGTAATAATTAAAAAACACAAATGAATAAAAAAATGTCAAAAGCACGCAAAGAAATTACTAAAAATGTAACTAAAATAAAAACAAAACTAAAAATATAAAAATGAAATCTAATTCAAACTATAAATAAAAAACTATAACAGTACATTATATCTGCCTACATTATATGATATTATATGCAAGTTATGCATTACAGTCCAAATTGGTATTATATATTATATATTTTATAATGTGTACTGCGTTAGGCTAACCGAGACTTGTCATTTGCACTTACATATTGTTGCTCTTTTGTTAGTTTTGATTACTTCTATTGTCCTCATTTGGATAAAAGCGTCTGCTAAATGACTAAATGTAAATGTAAATATATTAATAATACTAAAATCACACTCTTGTGCAGATGAAAGAGTAATGCAATTAAAAATGAAGCAACATGTGTTCGCTTCAATGACTCAAACATGAACATGAGCAGATAATGTGTGGCAATGCATTTATTTGAGTGCGTGTGAATCGGCTTGATGAGACACTCACTTCTTAGGGAGCTTGAGCTTCTTCAGCTCCTCTTCAGCGTTGACCTTCACCTGGACCACATGACAGCCCAACGCCAGCAGAGTCCTGAAACACACGCACTGTGAGCACTGAGTGCCTGTTAAAGACGCAGCAGAACTGTTGTGTGGCTCCAACACACACTATTTCTGAATGAATCTGCGCTTTGAACGAATCGGGTGAACCAGTGATTCAGTGATTCAATGATTCAATCATTTACTTCATTCCTGAATCAATCAGCCGTTTGAACGAATCGAATGAATGAATGAATGAACGATTCAATGACTTCACTACTGGCAGTTTGAGTTTCTAATTTAGAGAATAATTTCATTAATAAATAATAATAAAAAATCTGAAAACAAAACATAAAACATCCATATTAATAAAAACTAACTAAAAAGGGATAGTTCACCCAAAAATGTAAAATTAAAAAAGAAAATGAAAAAAAGGGGGGGAAATTCTAAAGCTACTTTTTGTGATTTCTATTTCATGCTTTTCTCATTTAACACAATGATGGCTTTAAATTACACGAGCAGTCAAAGGTTTTTAACAGTGAGATTTTTTATGTTTTTAAAGAAGCCTCTTCTGTTCATCAAGCCTGCATTTATTTGATCAGAAATACAGCAAAAGCAGAAATATTGTGAAATATTTTTACTATTTCAAATAACTGCTTTCTATGTGAATATATTTTAAACTGTAATTTATTTCTGTGATCAAAGCTATATTTTCAGCATCATTACTGCAGTCTTCAGTGTCCC